ATTGCATTCTCCATCACCCCCTTCTCCTTTTCCCTTCAGTCTTTCCCACTGGCTATCAGTTTTACACATAATATGTTATTTAAGAAATTAACAGACTCCATGATAGAAAAATATTCAGAAAGCATATTATTAAGAATATATGATAGAGAGTAAGAAAACAAATTTTGGAAACAGGAGATATGAATTTAATTCTACATTATGCAACATTATACTCTAGAGCCTTAAACAGCTCAAACTGCAAGTTGCTTCCAAGTTCTGTCTTTCCACCCAAGCTAACATGTTTATTGTCATAAATATTGCTATTTTTGTTTCTACTTCAATTAGAAGCAAAATTGGAAGGTTTATGATACCACAGCCTACCTCCCAGAACTTTTCATTCCTCATAAACAACATAGGAGATATCCTTCTGGAATAAACGTTCCTTCGGATGGACTAATACGACATGAGCTCTCTCTTGAGTGCTTTGCTATCTTGAGAACATGTTTCTCTACCTATTGAAGTTCATGAATCTGCCCGTAAAAACATTTTGATATGAACCTGTTTTGTGTGTGTGTGTGTGTGTGTGTGTGAAATTAGTTTCTAAAACTATCAAACATCAAAACAGACCGAAACTACTTTCTGATCAGCTGTGAAATGATCCATACATTTTTGTTATTCTCCTTTCTTTCTGGTTTGTCTTTCAAGTGCAGAATCTATGTTACTATCTCTACAGGGTTTATTAACCAAGTTAGGTTTGCATTCTAGAAACAGACTGCATAGCTCCAAAACTCTTCTTTGAAAATGATTTTCATGAACAACCCTCATTGTTTTATATCTAAGTCTGCTCTCTTTCCCTTTTATGCTTCTCTAAGCCTTGGGGAACTGGACTAGAGAGATTTAGGGGTTCTCAAGCAATCTCTCTACCCAGGATTGTAACTATTAAATTCAAGGCTGAATGAACAGTGAATCGGTCATGTTTGAATGGATTTCAGTCTTCCATGAGGTTGGGGATGGTGATAAGCATGTACTTGTCAGTTCAGTTCAGTTCAGTTCAGTCACTCAGTCATGTCTGACTCTTTGAGACCCCATGAATCACAGCATGCCAGGCCTCCCTGTCCATCACCAACACTCAGAGTCTACTCAAACCCGTGTCCATCGAGTCAGTGATGCCATCCAACCATCTCATCTTCTGTCTTCCCATTCTCCTCCTACCTCCAATCCCTCCCAGCATCAGGGTCTTCTCCAATGAGTCAACTCTTCCATGATGTGGCCAAAGTACTAGAGTTTCAGGTTAAGCATCAGTCCTTCCAGTGAACACCCAGGACTGATCTCCTTTAGGATGGACAGGTTGGATCTCCTTGCAGTCCAAGGGACTCTCAAGAGTCTTCTCCAACACCACAGTTCAAAAGCATCAATTTTTCAGCACTCAGCTTTCTTTATAGTCCAACTCTCACACCCATACATGGCTAGTGGAAAAACCAGAGCTTTGACTAGATGGACCTTTGTTGGTAAAGTAATGTCTCTGCTTTTTAATATGCTGTCTAGGTTGGTCATAACCTTCCTTCCAAGGAGTAAGCATTTTTTTAATTTATTGGTTGCAATAACCATCTGCAGTGATTTTGAAGCTCAAAGAAATAAAGTCTGCCATTGTTTCCCCATCAATTTGCCATGAAGTGATGGGACCGGATGCCATGAACTTAGTTTTCTGAATGTGGAGTTTTAAGCCAAAATTTTCACTCCCCTCTTTCACTTTCATCAAGAGGCTCTTTAGTTCTTCTTCACTTTCTGCCATAAGGGTGTTGTCATCTGCATATCTGAGGTCATTGATATTTCTCCTAGCAATCTTGATTCCAGTTTGTTCTTCATCCATGATGTATCAATTTGTGTCCGATTTGGTACAGATATTGTGATGGCCAAGTTAAAAAAAGGTCTGCTTCCCTAACTCCAGTGGTATAATGCCTCAAAGAATTTTAGATCAAATTTAAAACTGCTATTTCACTAATGTTGACAAAATACTAAGGGTAACAGTGTAGTGAAAATGTTAGTTGCTTAGTCTTGCCATGACTCTTTGCAACCCTATTAACTGTAGCCTGCCATGGAATTCCTCTGTCCATGGAATTCTCCAGGTGAGAATACTGCAGTGGGTCCCCATTCCCTTTTCCAGGGTATCTTCCCAGGTCTTGACACAGGGATCAAGCCATGGTCTCCCACATTGCAAGTGGGTTCTTTACTGTCCTAGTCACCAGGGAAGCCTGGCATGGAAATATATCATCTGAACTGTGTAGAAGTATATTATTCAAATGGGAATCAGAGAAGTCTTCTCAAAAAAAGCATTGTTTAGTTTCGATTTAAAGGAGTCTGAACTAAAGCTGTTCGATAGAATAAATAAAAGCAAAAGAATTTCACAGAACTGTGCACCATTTATAAAGTCACAAAGGTGTAATAATTGAAATACACTTCAAAAAATGTATACATTTAGCATGAGTAGATCAAGCTGTGACTAGAAGTTCACTGTCTTTGGTTGTCTTGGAACTTATTGAGTCTTCCTTAGGGTCTTTATTGGATGTTCCCATTTCCTGACCTATAAATATTGATGCCTTCCAATGTTATATCTCCAGCCTCAACCTCTACCCTTATTTTCAAATTTTGGTATGTAATATATTCAGTTTTGGACATCTATACTGAAATATCAATTTAGTATGTGTAATACATGGGAAATAGATGGGGAGACAGTGGAAACAGTGTCAGACTTTATTATTTTGGGCCCCAAAATAACTGCAGATGGTGATTGCAGCCATGAAATTGAAAGACACTTACTCCTTGGAAGGAAAGTTATGACCAACTTAGATAGCATATTAAAAAGCAGAGACGTTACTTTGCCAACAAAGGTCCGTCTACTCAAGGCTATGGTTTTTCCAGTGGTCATGTATGGATGTGAGAGTTGGACTGTGAAGAAAGCTGAGTGCCGAAAAATTGATGCTTTTGAACTGTGGTGTTGCAGAAGACTCTTGAGAGTCCCTTGGGCTGCAAGGAGATCCAACCAGTTCATCCTAAAGATCAGTTCTGGGTGTTCATTGGAAGGACTGATGCTGAGGCTGAAACTCCAATACTTTGGCCACCTTATGTGAAGGGTTGACTTATTGGAAAAGACCCTGATGCTGGGAGGGATTGGGGGCAGGAGGAGAAGGGGACGACAGAGGATGAGATGGCTGGATGGCATCACCGACCCGATGGACATGTGTTTGAGTAAACTCCAGGAGTTGGTGATGGACAGGGAGGCCTGGTGTGCTGAGATTCATGAGGTCTGGGCGAATGAACTGAGCTGAACTGAACTGAATATAAAGTTTAAAATTTTCCACAATACAAAATTTGTACCTTATCTCATTAAATGGTACCACCTTCAATGTTATTGCTCAGACAATAAATTTCACTGTCTTTTTCACTCCCCTGTTGATCTCCTATGACCTATTTAAACCTTTAGCAAATCCATCTGTCTCTACTTTTTAAATGTATCACAAACTTGATGATTCTCTACCCCATCTTCTTCGTGGCCATGGCAGAAGCCTCCTGCCAGTTATGCCTACTAGTATTCTGACTTCTAACAATCTGTTTTCTTGAAGCAGCTCAGTAGTTCTCTTTAATGTTGTTCTGATTATATTGGTCCACTGCTCCAAACTCCCACGTGCTAGGTCACTTCTGTTGTGTCCCACTCTTTGAAACTCTATGGATGTTAGCCCGCCAGTCTCATCTGTCCATGGAATTCCCCAGGCAAGAATACTGGAGTGGGCCACCACACCCTCTTTTAGGGGAGTTTTCCTATCCAGGGATCAGTCCCACATTTCTTACATCTCTTGCATTGGCAGGGTTTTTGTTTTTGTTTTTGTTTTTGTTTTTTTAACTACTAGTGTCACCTGGATTTCAATCATGTACCCACAGTTTAATGTATCTCTTTTAACATTTATATTCTAAAGAACAGGTCCCCAAGTTTAATTTGAAGAATCTAAGGCTTAGAAGTGAAGTGTTAGTCGCTAGTCTTGCCCAACTCTTTGAAACCCCATGGACTGCAGTCCACCAGATTCCTTTGTCCATGGGATTTTCCAGGCAAGGATTCTGGAGTGGGTTGACCCTTCTTTTTCCAGGGGATCTTTCTGACCCAGGGATCGAACCCAGGTCTCCTGCTCTGCAGGCAGATTCTTTACAAGCTGAACTACATAGGAAGTCCCCTAAGGCTTAGAACATCTCATTAATTTCCTGAATGTCAAAAATTTTAAGAGATAAAACAAGAATTGGAATCAAAGTTTCATCTATTTCAAAATAATTAAATTTCTTGCATATTAAAGAAAGTTATGCAATTATGAAGCCTGATTCCCAGTATTCACTATTCTCATATTTTGGAGGCATGCTTACAATGTGATTGAAGAGTTTTAAGTTACTCACAAAGACTTAAAATTCTTCCAATTTCCTCCAAGTAATGTATAAAAAGAATTTAGTAAAGTAGCAGTAAGAGTCTGGAGAAAAACATACTCTACAAACTAAGGGTTATCATTGTCTTCATTACCTATTCTGAATCTATGAACATGAACACTGAAGTCTTGGCAAAGTGCTTTAATTGATCAAAAAGCCAAATAAGTACCTGGCAAGTATTAAGTACTCAACAAATGTTACTTTCTGATCTTTTGTCCCTCTATCATTGATCTACCAAATTTCTTAGTGTTTTTCTCCCCCCCACCAACACACACATTTTACAAAAGGTGTAATCTTCCCTATGCATATAAATCATCATTTTCCTGGCATTGGTGATGGTTTAGTTGCGTGGTCATGCTGACTCTTGCAATCCCATGGACTGTAGCCCCCCAGGCTCCACTGTCGATGGATTCTCCAGGTGAGTATATTGGAGTGGTTTGCCATTTCCTTCTCCAGAGGATCTTGCCAACCCAGGAATTGAATCCTGGTCTCTTCCATTGCAGGAAGATTCTTTACCAACTGAGCTATGAGGGAAGCCTCTTTGCATTGTGTAAAACCTAATTTACTCTACTCTTGAACAAATTCCTCATCGCATTTTTTACCTCTGTGTTTCTCACTGTGTAAATGATAGGATTTAACATGGGAGTGAGGATTCTAAAGAACATAGTCACCCACTTGTCCACAGGGTATGTGGCCATAGAACGTGTGTAAATGAGTATACAAGGACCAAAAAAGAGCACCACTACCATAAAGTGGGAGCCACATGTAAAGAGGGCTTTGAGTCGTCCTTCAGAGCCATGGGATTTCAGGGAGCTCAAGATGATGATGTAGGAGATGAGGAGCAGGAAAATTATGCCTCCACTGTTAGTTGCCACCACAATTCCCAGCATGTAGGTGTCGCTGAAAGCAAGTTTCAACAGTGAGGAAAAAAATCACATCTGAAATCGTCAATAACATTGGAACCACAGAAGGTCATGTCAGCCATATAGAGAATCTTTACAGTGGCATGTAGAATCCCCCCGATCCAGGCCACCACCACCACCGGGAGCTGGCAGAGCCCCTGTCGCATGATGGCCGTGTAGTGCAGAGGCTTGCAGATGGCCACATAGAGGTCATAGGCCATGACAGTGAGGATGATCACTTCTGATCCTGCCAGGAAGTGTTCTAAAAAGAGCTGAGTCAGACAGCCACCCCAAGAAATGGTTCTCCTCTGGTACAGCAGGTCAGTGATCATTTTGGGGGTGCTGACAGAAGTGAAGGAGGCATCTAATAAGGCCAAGTAAGTGAGAAAAGAATACATAGAAGCCAAAAGTGTAGAACTGAAGGAGATGGCTGAGCGGGTAACAGGCAGGAAGGCCAGGGGTCTCCAAAGGGAGGAAAGAGGCTGCATGTGCCAGACATTTTTCTCTCTCTTAAGCGGCAGGAGCGAAAAACCAGCGATAAGTTTTTCCTTCTCTATACAAATTTAAAAGGAGGTTTCTCTTAAAATGCTGTGTTGCCAAGACACCTGGTCTCACCTGAAGCTAACTACTCTCAAACCTTGAGTTAACCAATACATTTCTTTTTCTTATGGAAATGTTGTCTTAAGCTATGTTAATGAACCCCAGACTCTATCTTCAAGTTGGTTCCGCCAAACTGCCTAACTTACTTACTCAGGTATTGTTCCCCTAATCTATGTAAACGGAACTCTTTGTTGGTATCCTGCCCTTCTACAAGATTCAAGTCTATCGTTTTATGGCCAGAGATGAATTATCTGGTGCCATTCTAACTTTTATGGCATTTGTTTCTTTTCATTAACAGACTGTGAGTGACTATATAACATAGAGCTAAAGACTAGGAGGGGGGTACTCTTTTGCCCCCTTCTGATGCCTATGTCAGAAGCTTTCTCTATCTCCTTTATACTTTAATAAAACTTTATTACACAAAAGCTCTGAGCGATCCAGCCTTGTCTCTGGCCCCGGATTAAATTTGTCTCCTCCGGAGGCCAAGAATCCCACGTCTTATCATTCAGCAACAACCTTTCATGGTTATGACAATGAGCAGGTTGGCGAGCACAGTGAATAGGATAATCAACAAAAAGACAATGAAGAATATTTTCTGCAAATGTAGATTCTGTATGAGTCCCAAGAGAATGAATTCGGTCACATTGTTGGGAGACATGATGAGCTCCATCCAGTAAGTAACGCCTTCCTGGGGACTGAATTACCTACAGAGAGTAAAGAATGCTGCCTATGAATCATGAAAGGATTGTAACTTGAAACTTCTTAGAACAAAACTGAAGCAGTCACAGTGACTGTGGAACCTTTCCTTGGCACTTTTGCGCCAGTAATTTTTTCAATCCTCTCATTTTTTTTCCCATGATGCTTTTCATCTTTTCAGACATCTAATACCTATCACCAGTAAAGCACATATAGAGCAAGAGTTCACATTTAATACGCTTAGAAAACACTGATCTATCTACATGAGATCTGGATTTTAGATTCTCTTTCTGGTTCTGACTTCATGTGGCTGCTAAGTAATCTCAGAACTCCATGTTTTCTGAGACTTTCTCTGTGTATGTGTGAAATTGAAATTCTCAGATGCATCTTGTAAGCTGAGCATTGCCCCAATGAGGTAAGAGTTTCTCCCTCTGCATGAGAATTTTCATTTGAACCCTCAACTCTACATATGCAAACAAAGATACCACCATAAATCTCTATCATGAAGCAGGCAGTTTTGGGCAATGTATATGAATCATTGAGATGTATTGAGATGCACCCTCCCTGGGGCCTATCAGAGCACACATACTATTCAAATATGTTACCTCACTTGCTGTAGTGCCTGAAACCTATGACATGATAAGTAAATGCTTAGGGAATTGCCATTTCCCATGGATAAGATTAATCCTGCTTCCCCATGCCATAAACATGGGGGGATTTAAGTGTTTTTGTTCTTCTACTCTGTTTACTGTTACTCTCTATGAAAAACATGAACTCTATAAAGGTGGCAATTTTCCAGTTTAATTATTTCTCACACACTTTAGAGGTTAAGTGTGGAAATATTCTTGCTTCAAAGAAGGGGTGTTTACTGGGTCCTTTTACTTTAAAGATAATTATGGTATTTTTAATTGATATTTTTGTTCTTAAAACTCTGACCCACATGCAATATAATATAAATATATAAAGTAAATTTACAACTTCAGTAGACATGGATAAAATTGTTTGTGTTCAATACAGTAGCATCTATCAAGCAAAGGAAATCCTCATTTTCAGAGTTTTAAAAATAAAAAATGAGGGCAACAGGAAGAAACAGTCCACTAGATAATGTAAAAATAGTACTTGCATTGTCAGTTGCTTCAGTCTTGTCCAACTCATTGTGACCTCATGGACTGTAACCCACCAGGCTCCACTGTCCATGGGATTTTCCCAGCCAGAATGATGGAGTGGGTTGCCATGTCCTCCTCTAGGGGATCCTAACGACCCAGGGGTCAAACCCAAGTCTCCTGCATCTCCTGCATTGCAGGTATGTTCTTTACCCCTGAACCACAAATAATGTACTACAAATACACAGACTAACACAAACACATATCAAATTGATTACTTATCATGTGTACCATAAATTCATTCATTCAGCAAATATTTATTTATGCAACTTACTATGTATCTTAATGTGTATGTATGATTACACAAAGCTGTAAAAATTTTCCTTGTTAAGTGCCTTTAATGCCTGAAATTTTATTGCCAAACATCAGCACTTCATGCATCCATGATAGACATGACCTTCCCACTCATCTGTATTTCTGCTACATGCATGTTCAGCCACCGGAGGATAAGGTTTTGTGCTTCCCTTCATAAGATTCTTCAGGAAGTGCAGAATGATACCATAGGAGATGACTAAGACCATGAAGATGATCACACAGATTGTCCCATCATTGGCATTCTATGAGGCCAATAATGTAGGTGTCAGTGCAGACACGCTTTAACTGTGGATACATGTCACAGGTGAAGTGGTCAATGATATGAGAGCCATAGAAGGGAAAGTTGTGAACAAAGAAAATATGAACTACAGCAAGTAAAATGTCACCAGCCTGGGCCAATAGTAGCGTAAGAACATGCACTTTCTCATTTATGATTATCAAATAATGCAAGGCTTTGCAGATGGCTGCATAGTGTTCATAGATCATGAGCACCAGAGTAAAATCTCCATATCGCTAAATAAGTGTTCAGTAAATAGCTGGATCATGCAACTTGAAATGGTTTCTTCTCATAGAGGAAATTTATGATCATATTTGAGGTGACTATAGAATAAACAGCTTCCATAGGTGATAAGTAGCCAAGAAAGAAATACATAGGGGCATCCAAGGTTGGGATGAACACCACAGTCAGGACAATGAGTAGGTTGCCCACCATGCTCACAATGTAGATGAGCAAGAACAGCACAAACAGTATTTTCTGACCCTGGACACTCTGAGTCCCAAGAGGACAAATTCTTATATTGTTACTTTTTTCCATAGGTCCTTCTGTATGTCTCATTTCTGAGCTCAGGACAAAATTACCTGTAAGTATAATTACTAATGGTGAGTTCCTGAAATCTTATGATTATTTATTCAACAAGTAAGCAGTATGACTTATTATGTTCTGGTACTTTCAGATATTATAATCAAGGCTTTTAAAACATTATCCCTTAAATCAATAATCTGTTATACTGATAGAGATGCAAGTGATTAGAGATATATGTGGAAAAGGACACATTATTAAAGAGACGAGGTGTCACAACGAGTTCTCCATCTGGAAGCTAAATAAATTGTACATACAGCTAATATATGTTACAAAATAAAAACTGGTTAAAGTTTTTTTTTTTTTTTTAAAGTAGAGCAAAAAAAAGGTAGAGCAAAATTTACTCCCTATTTACTGTTCATTTCATAAAGGAGGTGACGCCATTATAGAATTGAAAGAATCTTCTTACCCAATCACTGAAATTCCAAATATATACATTGCCAATTTCACTATTTTAAGAATTTAGGAAGTGATACCACAACACTAGTAGACAGAATAGTTTGAAGAAAGACTCTCATGTTATATGACATACACAAAGTTAATATTTAATATAAAGATCTTTAACAAATGATAAAAATAAATATAAAATAAATAAAAATATGAACAGACAAATAAGGAAAAGCTTCAAATGGCCAACAAGCATAATTTAAAATGTTAAAGCTCACCCATGAACAGATAAGTAGCAATTGAAGCCATAGCTTGCTTACCATGGTATTGACTTGGGTTTTTGAAAGTCACTTTATCAAGGTCTACAGATTCCACCTCATCTTTAAACTTTTAACAGATTAACAGACAACATTTAGAGAACATATTGGTTTTATAAGGAGAAAGCCATTCAATCCATGCTCTCGATTCTGACTCCTTCTCCCTTGTTTTCATGCCTTGAGGCCATCTCTGGGAACACAGAGAGCCAGGTACACACAGCGTCACTGGACCTTGAACTGGTTCCATGTGATCAACTCTTTCCTGCTTGCAGGAAATCTACTGCTTCTCAATTATTCAGAGAAAATACTACTTTGCAAATTGTTGGGCTTTTCAAAATGAATATGAATGTCCTATTGTCTAAAGAATCCTTAATCTTGATGGTGAACAGAAACTCAAAATATTCATTGTGGGCCAAATTCGTCCTGATAACAAACAAACGTTAATCAACATTTTGATTGGAGATTAAACTACAAATTGTGTAAAAATTGTTTAAAATAAAATATTTGCTGTTTTTGTTTATATCATCAAAGTGAAATACCTTATTTTTATTTTGAGCCTCAATCAGTTACACTGTCCTGTCTTCATACAACATAGTTGAACTTTGGGTTTCCTGAAGGATGGAGAATAATTTCATATATGTACATTATTATGTTTTGAGTTCAAAGTTTTAATTTGTAGAAACTTCTCAAGTGAGCACTGCTACAGACAAATCCTCTCTGAGGTAGGGGCAAAGGGTCCTAAACGCTTTGCCTGCATTTAACTATGGGACCTACTATTGAGTCATTCAATTAGTGCATCTCCAATTAAAAAAAAAAAAAGTGATTCTTGTCTAATTAAAATTATTGGGAACTTAATCATAATTTTGAGGGTAGTCTCTTTATCTCCAGAGATGACATCAGGATAATCACCATGTATAACTAGACTAACAGAACTCTGTCTCTGGGGGGGGAAATCATTTAAAATTAAAAAAAAAAAGACAAAACAAAACTTGAAATCATATCACCTAAAAGAAAATGTACAGTCTGGGGAGAACTGAAATAACTTCAAAATATGAATATATTTACTTTTAAGCTTTGTCTTTGAAGATGATATCTGAACAAATTTTCAAATATTATAAATGTTAATTTCAGAACCAGTTATTAATTTTTTGTCAGTTGCTTCATTTGCTATTATATTCTCCCATTCTAAAGGCTGTCTTTTCATCTTGCTTACAGTTTAGGGGTGGTGACGAATGTGAAGGAGGTATCTATGAAGGACAAGTGAGTGAGAAAGTATATGTGAGCAAAAAGTGTGGGGCTGAGGGAGATAGGGATAACAATGAGCAGATTGGCCAGCATTGTAAACAGGAAAATGAACAGAAAGACAATGAAGGTTATTTTCTGCAAATGTGAATTCTGTGTGAATCCCAAGAGAACAAATTCAGTCACATTGTTGGGAGGCATGGAGACAACCATTTAGTAAGTAACACCTTCCTGGAGACTTAGTCACCTACAAAGAATAAAGAACAATACTTATTAATCATGAATAAATTTAGCCTGAATTTCTTAGAAAAAAAAAATACTGCAACCATTGTAACTGTTGAGTTTGTCCTTGGCACTTTGGTTGTGTGCTTCTTTCAAATCTTTCTTACTTTCTCTGTGATGCATTCTATCTCTTCAGACAAATAGCATCAGTCACCTGTACAATAGCTATAGGGCAACATTTGATGTAGAGTTTACTAAGAAAACACTGAGTTACCTACATGAGATCTGGGGTCCCACTCTGGTTCCAACTCCATTTGACTCTGAAAAGTAATGTTTACACCTCATGCTTTTGAGAACTCCGTTTTGTCTATGAGATTACAAATTGCAATTTTCAGATACATATTATAAGTTTAGAGTTGCCTCAAATAGGTAAGAATTATTCCTTCTTCCATGGCAATTTACATTTTAA